TACTCCTTCTGGGTGTTTAAGACCAAGAGCTATGTTAATAGCATATATATATATCTCCCGACCAAGGTCAGTTAAGGCGCCTCAGGTTAGGGCTATTTTGGGGCCCTGTGTAGAGCTGCTCCTCCTCCAGTTTTTTCCTGTACCCGCTGTCACTTGCCAGGTTGGGTCACAGTCTTTGCTAGACCACGGGGCTTCCCTTGCAGGCATGGGGGCAGTCCCCCCTCATGCCCCCTGTAGTGACCCTCCTAGCCCCAGGCACCCTGATGGCGCCTGCCCTCTGGGGTCCCACAGTCTCCCTGCTCGGGAGGTTGGGTGACTCACTGAGTTGTAGGGTCCCTTGGAGAGGTCCGCTCACGTCCTGGGTGCGCTGAGCCCCTTACCCTCCTTGCCCGTGGTCTCCCAGCCGTGACTCTTGCTACCCAAGAGGCCGGTTGCAGTCTGGAGCGGGGAGCAGTAGGCTTCGGGTTTAGCTATTACCGACCTTACCGCACTTCAAAATGTAGACCAGACTAGAGAACGGCGAGCTCTCCATGAATCGAGGTCGGTTTCGAAGCAGGAGTCCTGTTCTACCCACGCCGTGGGTGATGGCCTACTATCTCAACATCTGCGTAGAATGTTAACAGATAGCAGTTATATGCGGGTGTGGTGGTGCACGCCTGGATTCCCAGCACTAGGGAGGCTGAGTCAGGAGGATCACCATGAGTTTTGAGACTGTCTCAGCAACGACCAAAAAAATGTTATAAAATTTCTTCTGGTCTTTTTTTGAGACAGGGTCTCGCTATGCAGTTCAGTCTGGCCTTGAACTTACTGTGCAGCCCAGACTGGTCTCGAACTCATAGCAGTTGTCATGCCTCAGCCTCTCAAGTGCTTGGATTACAGGTGTGTGCCACCACACCAAGCAAAAATTATAGTTTTGCCAGAAAAATTTAAAATCAGAAGCAAACAGAGAATTTTAGAATAATGACTATGTTGGTGTTATTATACTAGAAACATTGTTATTTTTATTGGCTCTAAAAATACATTAAAATTCAATTCCCATTTTAGTATGAAGTAATCTATAGCATATAACAGGTTAACTTTATCCAATTATAAAATATTAAATGATATAAATAAATTCTTATCTAAATTTGGACAACAAAGTACCTGATTAGAATGTACTTGCTTACAAATGTACTTTACATGTAACTAATGTCCAACCTTTGTTTGTTTGTTTTGTGTTTTGATTTTTGAGACTAGGTCTCGCTATGAAGTTCAGGCTGAGCTCGAACTCACTATGTAGCCCACGATCACCTTGAATTTGTGGCGATCCTCTTGCCTCAGCCTCCGGAGTGCTGGGATCACAGGCATCCCATGAATGCAAATATTAAGTATATCAAGAGGTTAGCAATAGCTGGCATCGCACCTATATAGAAATCTTGTTGTTGTTTTTGAGACAGGGTCTTGCTTTTTATTTCAAGCTGGCCTTGTGCTGATTGGCCCAAGCTGGCCTCGAATTTACAGTAATCCTTCGGCCTCAGCCTCTTTAGTGCTAGGATTATAGGTGTGCATCACCATGCTAGGCTGAAATCTTTTACATATATTAGCTTAGTTCCTCTCAAAGTAAAATTTAGATTCTTTTAACAGGTTTCCATGATGTAACTATACTGACAGGAATGAATATCTTCAGACCTCATAAATTTAGGAAACAATGTTAATGACCGAAAATAAATTTATTACCCAGTATACAAGTATATCTCATTTTATACACTAACAAAATGCTTATTGAGTGAAATCCAATAGATATAGATCAAATTTTAAATGGCAGGACCAAATTTAAAGAGATGTCAAAAAATTTTGATGATTTTATATGTTTAAGGTCTAGTTAGATGCAATGTAAAGTGCACAATTTTGTATGCATTAAATAAACCCCAGTTTTCACTTTTTTTTTTTTTTGTTTGTTTTTTTTCCAGTATGGGGAATGGAACTCAAGACCTTGCTCTCGCCAGGCAGGCTCTATGCCACTGAGGTAAATCCCCAGCAAATCCCAGTCTTAACTCTATAAACTTTTTAATGTTAGGTGAAGCTCAGGCCCTGTGTGGTGGCACTTGAGAGGCTGAGGCAGGACGATAAATGCAAGTTCAATTGCCTGGCAAGCACGAGGTCATGAGTTTGATTCCCGGTACCGGAAAAGCAAAAACAAAAACAAAAAAAATGCAAGTTGAAGGCCAGCCTGGGCTACATAGTGAGACCTTGTCTCAAAAAACAAAAACATGGCTGTCCAGTGTGGTGGTGCATGCCTTTAATCCCAGCACTTGGGAGGCTGAGGCATGAAGATTACTGTGAGTTGGAGGTCAGCCTGGGCTACAAAGTAAACTCAAGGCCAGCCTGAACTGCCTAGGAAGACCCTGTCTCAAAAAACAAACAAACAAACAAAAAAACCCAAAACAAAAACAAAGAAACAAAGCATTAGGTGAATGTGTTAGTTACTTTTCTCATTGTTGCTGAGACAAAATACCTGACACCCAAAGTTAAAGGAGGAGAGGTTTATTTAGCTCACAGTTTGTAGAGGTTTCAGTCCATATCGGCTGGCTCCAAGGCAGGGGGCACATGGCAGACACATCAGAGAGGAGAAACAGTTCACTGTGGCCAGAAGGCAGCAAACCAAGTCAACAGCTTCTTTCTGCCCCTTACATATCACCCAGGCTACTCGGGGCAGGCAGCACTCACACCCTTAATCCTAGTGCCCTTGATCCCAGCACTGCACCATGAATCAGTCCCAGCATCACACGCTCTAGATCCAGCCGCCTCTGAAGAAGCCCACCTGTGACTGTGTGAGGCTCTGGGGACATCTAGACACAGGCCACAACAGTGAAGCTCAGACTCAGAATATTTTCTCTCCCTAAACATATATTTTTTTTTAGTCTCAGATATCTATATAGATATGGATATAATATAACCTAGGCTAATAGTTATTCATTTGACCAATTATAAACTGACTTTTGAAAACATTTTATAATAATCCAACATTTAAATAATTTTTTTTCAACATTTAAATAATTCTTAATTTGTAATCCCAGCACTCGGGAGGCTGAGGCAGGAGGATTGTTTCAAGTTCAAGGCCAGTCTAGGCTACAAAGTGAGCTCAAGGCCAGCCTGAACTGCATAGTGAGACCCTATCTCAAAAAGACAAAAAAAAACAAAACAAAACAAAAAGGGGGCTGGGGATTTAGCTCAGCTGCACAGCACCTGCCTGGCAAGCAGGAGATCGTGAGTTCGATTCCCAGTACCAGAAAAAAACCAACCCCCCCCCCAAAAAAAACCAAAACAAAAATAAACTCTTTACCCTTTCAATTAGAGCTGACATAATTATACATCATGATTTTTAACAAGATTTGTCAGTGTGGGGCACAATAAGACCCTGGGGAAAACCAGAGAAGCCACAGATCAGAGGAGAAAACCAAAGCAGATTGGTTCAGGCAGCTGCTTTTTCAGGCACAGAGGAGAGTTTTGTCCAGTAGGTCCCTAGGCCCAAGGGACCCCACTTAGGGGAATTTTTAAAATATTACTTTAAGTGGGTCATGGTGGCTGCATGCCTGTTATCTCAGGACTTAGGAGGTAGAGGCAGGAGGGTTCCCATGAGTTCAAGGCCAGTCTGAACTACAAAGCAAGACC